AAGCTGAAATTTTAAGGGAATGTTCCCCGTCCAAGTAGGTACTAATGAGCTCAAACCCAACCCCCGAGTAAGAGTGGTACCCGAGTACGGGCCAGCCGAAACTTTTCCCGCGTGAATTCATAACTCGGGGTTCTGAGATGCTAGAAAGCTGAAATTTTAAGGGAATGTTCCCCGTCCAAGTAGGTGCTAATGAGCTCAAACCCAATCCCCGGGTAAGCGTGGTACACGCGTACAGGCCCGCCAAAATCTTTTTCGGGTAAGTTCATAACTCGGGGATCTGAGAAGCTGGAACACTGAAACCCTACGGCAATGTTCCCCATTCAAGTAGGTACTAACGAGTTCAAACCCTGCCCGTGGGTACGCACGGGTCCTTGAAAGCTTTTTCCGGGTAAGTTGCTAACTCGGGAAAGTGAGAAGCTAGAAGATTGGAATTTTGAAGAGATGTTTCCTGACAGTTCTGGCGGCCAGTCTGAAATTCTTTTAGCTAGAAGCATCAGCCAGAAAAACCAGTGCCGTTAGCGACAAAAATCTACGGGGACCCGTGCAAAAAACGCATCTTCGCACGGGCAGCCCGTGCGTTGGCCAATTATTTTCTATTCATCAACTTTACAAAAGAAAATGTGGGATGAATGCTCAGTTCCCCGCTTTTAAGGAAATTCAGGGTTCCTGCTAATGGTTCTCTTAGTCTATTATGTTATCCATAAATTACAAAATGATCAAGTGGCAAATATGAATAAGGAATAAAGTTAGCCGATCCCCTGTTTCTTGCTCCGGCTGCCCTACGCTTTCATGTGATAAGCAAAGACTCAGGTCTCTGCTTATGATAAGAAAATGATATATCGGAAATAATAACAGTTCGGTATTATTGCTCAGCTGAATTGGTGGCAGGAATTGCTGGGATTCATCCAAATCTCTTACGACAACGGCATGCAGTTGCAAGAACAGGATGTGACCGTATAAACTTTGTAAAAATTTAACGCCACGAAATTGTTGGACCTCCAGGACTGACAGGAAATTGTCATCTATGGTAATTGTAAGGCCGAGCTGTAGTTTTGAAATAACAAAACTGGACGGTCAGAAACTAATGAAGTGAGGAGTGGCCAGACTAAGCAAGACTTGATTAAACTGGTAAAAATTCTTTACTCAAATGTTCCGGTCCTGACACTCACCAAACACACAACTTTTCAAGTCTTTTTGTTTACTCATTCTCAAAGTAGCTGAAAAATTTTCCCAAGAAAACATCTTTCTATTATAACTGGTGAAGAGAGAAAAGCGTACTTACCTTTCCGGTAGTGCTATTCTGCTCATCCGGATGTCGGACAATTGTGAAACCACTGTCGATAAGTTGACCAATAGTGATCAGTCCCGTATTGAGCGTCTCATCGTTCTTCCGCATTCGTGCCAATCTTTGGAATGTTTTCAGATGTGAGCGTGAAGTACCGTACTGCTTCTGAATCATTAAAAGTCAGTGCACAAAACCGGGTGCCACAGTCAAAATTCCTCACGATATTCCACACAGCAATGTGGGGTAAAATCAACAGAAAATGGCCTAATGTTACCAGTAGTAACTGTCAGCTAGCAAGGCTGTCGACAGCGCCGTTCTGAAAAGTAGCAGTTCTAGAAACGGAGAAGCATCGAGTGTTTTGACAGCCGGTAGTTGTTGTTGGCTACCGATCGAGTTATTTTTCGAATGTGCCCCCGCTTCCTATAGTGAGAAATATGAGGAAAGTTTTGGTGTGAGTGGTAAGCTAATGGCGATCTCGGTCCTCACTTGTTGAGCATACCGGCAGCGAATGACCATAAAAAAAACTGACCTACTAA